AGCATATAAAAAATGCTGTATCAGTCTGCTCTCACACTGTTAATAAAGACATACTTGAGACTGGGTAATTTATAAAGGAAAGAGGTTTAACTGACTCAGTTCAGCATAACTGGGGAGGCCTCAGGAAACTTATGATCATGGTGGAAGGGGAAGTAAACACGTCCTTCTTCCATGTGGCAGCAGCAAGGAGAAGTGCCAAGCAAAAGGGGGAAAAGCCCCTTATAAAACCATCAGATCTCATGATAACTCACTCACTATCACGAGAACAGAATGAGGGTAACAACCTCCATGATTAAATTACCTCCCACGACATGTGGGGATTATGGGAACTACAATTCAAGGTAAGATTTGGGTGGGGACAGAGCCAAACCATATCAAATGCTCAACATCACTATTCATCAGACAAATACAAATCAAAACCACAATGAGACACCATCTCACATCAGTCAGAAAAATTATACAACCCCATTTAAAACTGGGCAAAGTACACGAACAGACATTTGTCAAAAGAATACATACATGGCCGGGCGCAGTGGCTCATGCCTGTAATCCCAGCACTTTGGGAGGCCAATGCGGGCGGATCACGAGGTCAGGAGATCAAGACCACGGTAAAACCCCGTCTCTACTAAAAATACAAAAAATTAGCCGGGCGTGGTGGCGGGTGCCTGTAGTGCCAGCTACTCGGGAGGCTGAGGCAGGAGAATGGCGTGAACCTGGGAGGCGGATCTTGCAGTGAGCTGAGATTGTGCCACTGCACTACAGTGTGGGTGACAGAGCAAGACTCCGTCTCAAAAAAAAAAAAAAAATACATACACAAGCATACGAAAAAATGTTCAACATCACTAATCATTAGAGAAATGCAAATCAAAACCACACTGAGATCCCACATCATACCAGACAGAATGGCTATTGTTTAAGTCAAAAACAGATGCTGACAAGGTTGTGGAGAAAAGGGAATGCTTATACACTACTGTGGGAATGTAAATTTGTTCAGTCACCATGGAAAGCAGTTTGGAGATTTCTCAAAGAACTGAAAACAGAAATAATATTTGACCCAGCAATCCCATTATTGAGTATATACCCAAAGGAATATAAACTGCTCTACCAAAAAGATATATGCACACATATGTTCACTGCAGCACTATCCAATAGCAAAGACATGGAATCAACCTAGATGCCCATCAATGGTAGACTGGATAAAGAAAATGTGGTACATATACACCATGGAATACTATGCAGACACAGGAAAAAACAAGATCATGTGCTTTGCAGGAACATGGATGCAGCAGGAGGCCATTATCCTAAGCAAACTAATGCAGTAATAGAAAACCAAGTACCAAGTTCTCTCTTATAAGTGGGAGCTAAAGATTGAGTACACATGGAAACAAATATGAGAATAAGAGACACTGGGGCCCAACTCCATCAGAGTTTTACATATACTCACCTAGCCAAGTGTCCCCAGAGGAAGCTCCTATGACTCTAACACCTTCATCTATGCCTATGCTCCTTCCCTCAAATAGATCATTAGATACACTCAGGTCTTCTTTGATCACTGAGAACTATCCTAGAGTCTTCAAGCCCAGCTGGCACAGGTTACTCCGGCAAGTCTACTGTGCTATGAAATCTCTAAGCCAGATGCAGGTGCCAGTCTCTTTATCCAAAGGAGCCCCCAAGCCTCCAGAGACACACATCTAGTTCCCTCCAGATTGAAATGGGAAACAAGGAAAGGAAAATAAAATGTATTCCCAGCATGTTTTCTCCAAACTCTCTCAATACATTCCAGAGACACCAAAATCAGTCCACACAACAAACATTCAACCAGAGAAGAAGATGCCAATCTCCCCTTCCAGCAGCCACACCCACAAATTTCACAACCAACTCTTTCAACCCTTACCTCAAAATTTTGTGAGAACAAATGAGGGAATGGCCATCACTTCATTAACTAAGCACACTCCAAAAAGCAATTCCCCCAACCCACTCTAGCCTACCTTGCAAGAGAGCAAGGAAAATGTAGGGGTAATGCTTAGAGTAGAGTTTTGCTGCAATGTCAGTTCTTAGCAATTTATGTAGTAAAGTAGCCGATGTCATAAACAGGCACAACCTTCAAACTCAAAAAATCAGGAACATAGCTTCTTTTGATTACAAAGTTAGCATGTACTCAGAAATCCCTGGCAAACAGGAAAGATACTTTTCACATCACGCTATACTTATGTGAATTACATAATGTGTTTTTTGTTGTTGTTGTTGTTGTTGTTTTTGAGACGGAGTCTCGCTTTGTCGCCCAGGCTGGAGTGCGATGGCACCATCTCGGCTCACTGCAAGCTCCGCCTCCCGGGTTCACGCCATTCTCCTGCCTCAGCCTCCAAGTAGCTGGGACTACAGGCGCCTGCCACCACGCCCGGCTAATTTTTTGTATTTTTTAGTAGAGATGGGGTTTCACCGTGTTAGCCAGGATGGTCTCGATCTCCTGACCTCGTGATCCGCCTGCCTAATGTGTTATTAACTGCATTTTACGTATGAGACACAGAACTGAACTGTGATTATTTTAACTAAGGTTAAAACATAAAAATCACAAATAGGAATAAATCTTTCAATGCATTAACAAAACAATGGCTGAATCCACTTACAAAATGAGGAAAAATTATTAAGTCATGTATCTCATAAAGATACTAACCAAATGAGATCATGGATGGCAGTGCCTTAATAATGAGAATAAAGCAAAACAAAACAAGAAAACTAGTTAGTATATACCCAGCATGTGCTTAGACCAAACGTTAAATTGTATCTTTTATACATCACTACCTGTAAGTCTTGGATAAGGAGAAGAGTTGAATATAAAAATACCTTTTAAACTCCTAGATTTCTCAGCATAAGCCTTTGAGCATCTTGGCACAGTACAAAGAATGGAAAACACATCTCTATTCCTCTCACTTTGTCAAAACTTTCTCCATTCTTTTAATCTACAACTTACACAAAAAATTTCTATTGCTATTAAGCTTTTATAAAGCTTGGAATAAGTGACAGAACCAGAAATAAAATCCACACTTTCTTGTGGCCAATTCTAGCTTCCTAAAACACAGTCGTGTCAGAGAAAGGTGCAAGAGTTTCTGCTTATCACAAAAAGACGTAATTGCAATTGGTCAATCTCACTTTACTCTAAAGAAGTATATATATTTTCAAGCAAATTTGATTTCAATCAGTCATTTGTTATTTTTAATTAAAAAAAAAAAAAAGAAACTGCTGCTTTGATTAATCTCTAGGGGTAATCTAGAGCTATTCTAAGCCCAAATGCTCAGTTTACAAAGCATAACAGAAAACTAAGTCCAGTAGTGTCTTCTACTACAACATACTGACTCATTATACTCCAAGAATATGATTTTTAAACTTAAAAATATTTTTCTTTAAACATAACAAGTGGCTGGGCATGGTGGCTCATGCCTATAATCCCACAGCTTCGGAATGCTGAGGTAGGAGGATTGCTTAAGCCCAGGAGTTCAAGACTAACCTGGGCAACATAGTGCGGCCTCATTGCTACAAAAATTTTTTAAAAATTAGCCAGGCATGGTGGCATATGTCTGTGGTCCCAGCTACTCAGGAGGCTGAGGGAGGAAGATTGCTTGAGCCCAGAAGGTCAAGGCTTCAGTGAGCCATGTTTGTACCCCCACACTCTAGCCTGGGTAACAGAAAAAGACCTGCCTCAAAAAAAAAAAAAAAAAAAAAAAAAAGTTTTTACATGCTGATAGTAACAATATTTAAGTATAACAACCACACAACATATATTTAGATGGTTTCAACTAATGTTCATTTTGAAACCTGCTTTTGATAACCAATATTTTTAGCTAGTCTAAAACATATTTTGACTGTTTCCAATTTAAGAGAAAACATAGCTGCTGTCTCAATACGTAACTCTTCTTTAACCCCTCATATATTTCAAAGGTTAAATAATGAATTCCAGGGTTTTCAACCATATTCACCATAAAAACAGAAGTTATCTCTTTAATATTTCTATAAACATGTATCCCTCTGGTTTTCCTCAAAGTAGGTTTATTCAGTAAAAAGTAATATGGTATACAGTCTCTACTTACTAAAAGGCCAGGCTTTTTAGATAGAGACACTCTACACCATGTGTCTGTTTAATATCCTATTACGAACACAAGATTATTTAAAATTAGAAAACACACCTTACAATGACATCCCAATCCCACCCAGGATTGTTTATGGTTAGCCATCAATCTCACTTTTCCCTAACCAAAGTGAATTAGGAGAGTGATAAGTATCTCAATGGAAAGGGAGTAATGTCCAATTAGACATTAAACATGAAACCAAAGAATGTGAAATCTCACTAGTGCCATCTACAGCAACAATGGAGAATACAGATAAGAATTTTTAAAATAATACTGGATGTGTATTCAACCTTTTGATTCCCTGCCCAGAACTATGCATCAAGACAGCTGTCTACCAAATCCTTCACAGAATATAAAATATATAATTAGGTGATGCCAAAATAAAATCTGCAAAATCAAGAAAACCTGAAGCATAATGCTGATGTTAGTGTATGGATCAAAAGAACAACTTTTCATAAGAGGTAATTAAATAAAAAGCATACAGAATTTATTAAAACTAGAAAAAGTGAGATAAATGATCCAGTCAGGGCCAGGCACGGTGGCTCACGCCTATAATCCCAGCACTTTGGGAGGCCGAGGTGGGTGGATCACTTAAGGTCAGGAGTTCGAGACCAGCTTGACTAACACAGTGAAACCCCATCTCTACTAAAAATACAAAAATAAGCCGGGTGTGGCGGCATGTGCCTGTAATCCCAGCTACTCAGGAGGCTAAGGCAGGAGAATCACTCTAACCTGGGAGGCAGAGGTTGTAGTGAGCCAAGATCATGCCACTACACTCCAGCCTGGGCAACAGAGCAAAAAAAGATCAAGTCAGATGTAGCAAAAATTCCAGAATCTGAATTCAAATGGATTACAAAGCCTCAAAGCAAACCTTACCTTACATTCGACCACACTCTGATCTGATTCGCAAGTTACATAGATTTCATCTACTGCTCGGCGAAGATTGTCAAAAAGAAATGCCCAGTATCGAGCTCTCAGATCAATCTTCCGAGGATGCCTTGTTTTAGTGGGACTTTTATCAAAGTGTTTATCTCCAGTCGTAGATGATGTTATTTTACAGTCCACTGCAGTACTCTGGTGAAGTAAAATAAAACATGAAAATAAATAAATAAAAGGGCTTCCAGGGATTGGATTTTTGTATAAAGATTCAATCAACTACAAACCAAAACTACTCCAGAAATAAAAAGCATCTGTACTGAACATGTATGGACTTTTTTCCTATCATTATTCTCTAAACAATACAGTATAACAACTACTTACACATAACATTTACATTGCATTAGGTATTATAAGCAATCTAAAGATTGTTTAAAGTCTATGGGAGGATATGCATAGGTTATATGCAAATACTACACCATTTTATATAAGGGACTTGAACATCCAAAGATTTTTATATCCATGGGAGATTGATATGGTTAGGCTTTCTGTCCCCACCCAAATCTCATCTTGAATTATATCTCCATAATCACCACGTGTAAAGGGAGAGACCAGGTGGAGGTAACTGAATCATGGGGGCGGTTTCCCCCATACTGTTCTCATGATAGTGAGTTCTCACAAGATCTGATGGTTTCATAAGGTGATCTTCCTCGCTTCGCTGGGCAGTTCTTCCCACCACCTTGTGAAGAAGGTGCCTTGGTTCCTCTTTGCCTTCTGCCATGATTGTATGAGTTTCCTGAGGCCTCCACAACCATGCTGAACTGTGAGTCAATTAAACCTCTTTGCTTTATAAATTACCCAGTCTCAGGCAGTTCTTTACAGCAGTATAAAAATGGACTAATATAGAGATCATGAAACCAATCCCCCGTGGATACTGAGGAATAACTGTATATTATAAATCAACTTAACATATCTCTTGACCTGCTTCATACACTTCTTAAAGTATGTATTATTACCTCCACTTTACAGATTAATAAATTGAGGTTCAGAGGCTGAGTTGTTCAAGGTTACATTGCCACAGGAGACCATCTTCTAGTTACAGCTCTACAATTACACTGCTGGTTTACCATTAGACTGTTGGCCGAGGCTCAGTGCTGACAGCTCTTTACCAGATATTCCAGACCACCTCATTTCTTTCTATATACCATTGAAAATTAAAATTAACTTAGGAAGTTTCCTAAATTATACTTCCTTCCCAAAGCTTTTTTCTACATTGATCAGCAAAGGACTAGCAGCTTCCTGTGAATCCAGACTCTAATCTTATGAAATTATCAAAACTATTGCCACTTATCCCCAGCTGTTTATGAATTTATCACACATCCATAAAATGTGGTATATATGTATAGCATTCATAATCATAAGTAATTAAAATCATAAATAACATTTTACCATCCTTGCTTATAATGTACAATGGGCAATAATGCTTTGGGGTTAAACTGTTTCTATCATTACGTGTGACTGCTCTATCCAAGGCTTTTATTTACAAAGATTCCAGAAGGGCAGAAAATATATTTTATAAAGGATTTTTGAAAACATAGTTATCATTTAATCATCACAACAAGCTGTAAAGACAGGACAAATATTATTATTCCTATTTTGTAGATGACAAAACTGAGGCTCAGACTGAATTTCTTGACAAAAGTCAAAAGAATGACAAAACTGAAACTAGAACTCAATCTTTCAATTTCTGCTCCAACGTTCACAGTGTTTGACATGCAGCTAGCAAATAGTAAGTGCCCAAATAATGTAAGATATGATTATCATAAGAAAAACAAAAAGGAGAAAAAATATGCCTATAGAAAAAATGTGCATAAACTAATGGCAATAATTGCCAACTTTGTGAAGAAAGGTAGACAAGACACATCAAATAACAGAGGCTACCCAGGCACAGTATTATACACATGTAGTCCTAACCACTCAGGAGGCTGAGGCAGGAGTATCACTTGAGCCCAGGAGTTTGAGAACAGACCAGGCAACACAGTGAGACCTTAAATCTCTCTTTTTAAAAAAAAAAAAAAAAAAATTCATAGAGGCTGGTTAACTAGTAGAGAGTTTTAAAATATAGGGCTCTACTTACTACTGACAAAAATAACAGCAGTGATAACAACAATTGCACCAGCATCTAACATTCATGATATACTATATGCCAAGCATTGCACCAAGTGATTTACATATACTTAATTTAATCACTGAAGCAATTTTATATTACAAGTACTACTATTATCTTCATTTTACAGAGGAGGAAACAGGTTTAGCTAAATTAAATTATACCCCAAAGCCTCACATTAATTTAAGTGACGAAGCCAGAATTCTTAATCAGGTAACTATACTACTACTATGGCTTACTATGTCTAACTGCTTCCCAAGACACTCAATAGATGACAAAACAATCCAAACTTGCAGGAGAAATTACACACAATTGGATTCCATGAGGTAACAGTGTTTTAATCAAGGATTTTTGAGAGAAAAAGAAAGAAAGAGGGGGAAAAAAAAGGGCAGGCCAGGGAAAGAAGGAGGAAGAAATTGAGACTTCTGACTCATCCCTTTCTGAGAGACTCATCGGCTCCCCTAAGAATCTGAGAAAACCTATGGACCTATCCCCCAAAAAATGCACGTGTATGACATTCAACATATATTTTCTTCATGTTCACAGACTCCATCTTCAACCTCAGATTAAGAAGCTCTCCAAGAAAAGAGAGAAGACCCAAATAAATAAAATTAGAGATGAAAAAGGAGACACTACAACTGATACCATAGAAATTCAAAGGATCGTTGGTGGCTACTATGAGAAACTATATGCCAATAAATTGGAAAATCTAGAGAGAATGGATAAATTCCAAGACACATACAACCTATCAAAATTGAACCATAAAGAAATCCAAACCCTGCACACACCAATAACAAGTAACAAGATCAAAGCCATAATAAAAAGTCTTCCAGTAAAGAAAAGCTCAGGTCCTGAAGGCTTCGCTGCTAAATTTAACAAACGTTTAAAAAAGAACTAGTACCAATCCTACTCAAACTATTCCAAAAACAGAGGAGGGGGGAATACTTCCAAAATCATTCTATGAGGCCAGTATTATCCTGATAACAAAATCAGACAAAGACACATCATAAAAACAAAAATACAAGCCATTATCTTTGATGAACATTGATGCAAAAATCTTCAGCAAAATACTAGCAAACTGAACATGTTCAACATTTTCAACATTACATTAAAAAGATCATTCATCATGACCAAGTGTGACTTACCCCAGGGATGCATGGATGGTTTAACAATATGCAAATCAATCAATGTGATATTATACAACAAAACAAATAAAAATCACGCAATCATTCCAATGCATGCTGAAAAAGCATTTAACAAAATTCAACATCCCTTCATGATAAAAACCCTCAACTATTGGGCATAGAAGGAACATACCTCAACATAATAAAAGCCATATACGACAGACAAACAGCTAGTATCATACTGAATGTGGAAAAACTGAAAGCCTTTCCTTTAAGATCTGGAACATGAAATGGATACCTGCTTTCACCACTGTTATTCAAAAGAGTACGTACTGGAAGTCCTACTTAGAGCAGTCAGACATGAGAAAGAAATAACTGGAAAGGAAGAAGTCAAATTATCCTTGTTTGCAGATAATATGATCTTATATTTAGAAAAACCTAAAGACTCCACCAAAAACTATTAGAACTGATAAACAAATTCAGTAAAGTTGCAGGATACAAAATCAACACACAAAAACCAGTTGCATTTCTATATGCTAACAGTGAACAATCTGGAAAAAAAAAAAAAGGTAATTCCATTTACAGTAGACAGAAGTAAAATTAAATACCTAGGAATTAACCAAAGAAGTGAAAGATCTCTACAATGAAAACACTGATGAAAGAAATTGAAGAAGACACCAAAAAACAGAAAGATACTCCATGTTCATGAATTGGAAGACTAAATGTTATTAAAATGTACATACTATCCAAAGCAATCTATAGATTCAATACAATCCCTATCAAAATACCAATGACATTCTTCACAGAAATAGGGAAAAAAAAATCCTAAAATATATACGGAACCACAAAAAAACCTAGAATACCCAAGGTTATCCTGAGCGAAAAGAACACAACTGTAGGAATCACATTACCTGACTTAAAGTTATACTATAGAACTATAGTAACTCAAACAGCATGATACTGGCATAAAAACAGACACACAGATCAATGGAACATAATAAAGAACCCAGAAAAAAATCCATACACCTGCAGTGATCTCATTTTCAGCAAAGGTGCCAGGAACATGCACCGGGGAAAAGACAGTCTCTTCAATAAATGGTGCTGGGAAAACTGGGTATCCATATGCAGAAGAATGAAATTTGACTTTCTCTCACCATATACAAACCTCAAATCAAAATGGATTAATGACTTAAATCTAAGACCTCAAACTATGAAACTGCTACAAGAAAACTTTGGGAAAATCTCCAGGACATTGGTCTGGGCAAAAAATTTCTTGAGTAATATACCCCATAAACACAGGCAACGATGCAAAACTGGACAAATGGGATCACATCAAGTTAAAAAAAAAAAAAAAAAAAAAAAAAAAAAAAAAAAACTTCTGCACAGCAAAGGAAACAATCAACAAAGTAAAGAGACAAACAACAGAATGGGAGAAAATATTTGCAAACTACCCATCTGAAAAGGGATTAATAACCAGAATATATAAGGAGCTAAAACAATTCAATAGGAAAAAAATCTCATAAACCAATTTTAAAATGGGCAAAAAATATAAACAAACACTTCTCAAGAGAAGACATACAAATGGCAAACAGGCATATGAAAAGGTGCTCAACATTACTGATCATCAGAGAAATGCAAATCAAAACTAAAATAAGCTATCATCTCACCCCAGTTAAAACGGTTTTTATCTAAAACACAGGCAATTAACAAATGCTGGAGAGGATGTGGAAAAAAATGGAACCCTGGTACATTGTTGGTGGGAATGTAAATTAGTATAACCAATGTGGAGAACAGTTTAGAGGTTCCTCAAAAAAAAAAAATAAATAAAGCTATCATATGATCCAGCAAACCCACTGCTGGGTATATACACAAAAGAAAAGAAATCAGAATATCAAAAAGATTTGTAC